CCATTCATTTAGGGTCAACTTTCACAATTTTTTATCACAATTCATGCTCTCATTCAACCATATTTTCTCTCTACTTTTCTACTATTAATATTATTTTGATTATTGATTAACTGTTGAGATTTTTTAATACATTTGACCAAACCGAATGTGTCTTTGGAAAACATCAACAGAAATTACTTGTTTCACAGTGGGTTGTTTTGATTCTTTATAAACACACTTTTAAGTCATTCTGCAGATGTCATTATACCTGTTCTGAGCATATTTAAGGTTATGGAAGGTTAAAAAAAACTAAATTTAGTTTAATAATCAATGAGTTCAACCTTTTTATTTGTAGAGCGTTTTTTTCCGTACATAGTCCATATCACACAAGGCATAAAACAATTGTCTCTCACTCCACACAGAAATGGGAGCAGGGTCGTCGTAACGGAGGTGCCTACTAGAGCTATTGTACATGTTTTTTGTGATTGGGCAAACCGTAGCACCCATAGGAAACCTACGCAGACACAGGGAGAACTCGTAAATTCCACACATAAAGGCCTGGAGGTGGACACAAGTATTATAAACCTAAACATTATAAAATAAAAAATAACCGCAGTGCATTAAAAAGAGAAGAGAAAAAGTCCTTCAGTTGGATAGACAGACAGAACAGTCTTCAACTTGGATTTGAACACTGTCATAGTAGAAGCCTATTTGAAGCTATTTTCATTGAAGTTATATTTTTTCTCAATGAAATGAGTGCATACTTGGACTGAACCAAAATAAATGTTTAGTGCAGATTGATAGATCAGTTAATAGTTAGTTTTAGGGTCAAAATTAGAATACAATGTGTGGTTTTGTTGAGCTGTAGCTTTAAGTGATATGTGGCCTATTTTAACCTCTTATGGTTGATGCTTGAACATATTGCAAATCTTTTCAAGGACCCCCGTAATCCCCCTGTTGCCCTAAACCCTGCCCTTATAGTTCTCGCTGTCTGTAACACAACTGTTGCATACGTGTGTGTGTGTGTGTGTGTGTGTGTGTGTGTGTGTGTGCGTGTTGGTTTCACAGCAAGACGGTCCTGGGTTTGATTACACCTCCAGGCCTTTCTGTGCGGAGTTTGCATATTCTCCCTGTGTCTGTGTAGGTTTCCTCTGGGTGCTCCGTTTTCCCTTACCACTAAAAACATGTACAATAGGTCTGGATGTAATGAGTGAGTGAGTGGATGGTGGTGGTTTGGGGCTTTGATGCCAGTTTTTCTTCCGTCATCACCGTGTGGAGAGAATGGGAAAATATCTGAACTCTGAGCATTGTAAAGCGCCTTGTAAAATTTGTTATAAACATTTATGTCAAACTTATCTATTTATTGATTTATTTGCAAGGTGGGGCCGCTCCATGATTGAGTCCATGTTTAATCCTGCACTTGAGATACTACTGCTCCCCGCTGGCTTTGGGGGAATGTCTATTGTACATTGTAAACGTGTTGTAAAAAATGTTTTACGTTTTAAAGAGAAGTTACCTCAAGTCTATAGCAAGGATCTGCAGCAGCTTAATTATTTCTGTTGTACTTGCGGAGATCTCTTGCTACAGCACTCTCATTTTCTTCAATATTTTTCTCGCACTTGTCCCTGACTTTAAATCAATAATAGCGCGAGTAAAATCCATGAGTTAATGTAACACGAGGCCTTCACTGACCTCTGTCTAATTTCACAGCTGCCTGACAACAGTCGATAAAACAAGATCATATTTTATTTTTTCTCTTACACGTTATACTTTCTCATAGCCCTAGGTGGGTACCATTGGATTGCTAATACAAAAAATGTTTTAATTTATCACTGCATTTGGCATTGAGAGAAGGCATACGTTCTGTGGAGATTGACTCATATTTGTGGAGATTGTAAAAACTAAAAACACACTGATCTCGTGGATTCAATCACTCTACGTCAGGGGTGCTCAATACGTCGATTGCGATCTACCAGTCGATCGCAAAGGTAATATTGGTAGATCGCATAAAATAAATAAAAAATTACACATTCTAAACGAATATATACAAAAAACTCCGGGCAAAGTGGAGATTTTTGAAAACTCCGTTAATGCATTTGTGTGTAGCCAGAGATAACCGGAGTTTTGCGTTCTCGCACGCCACAGTACCCCCCTAAATTCCTCTGATCACTGAAGCATGGATCATACTACCTTAAAAACTGTTCGCTGTGAGATGCTCGCAGCAGCAAACATCCTCCACATCAGAGAGCAGCAAAGTGATCGCAGGGACGCACGCTCGAAAACAACCAAACCAGGACTAAACCAGGACTAAACCCGGGCTGAGGACGGGGTCAGTGCTTGTAAACATACGTCAGGGGTGCTCACACTTTTTCAGCATGCGAGCTACTTATAAAAGGATCAAGTCAAAATGATCTACCTACTACAAAAATGCAAATCATATATTTATTTCAAAAAATATTCTTTATACCTACAATGTATGTTTATGTACATGCAAAACCGCATGAGCCAATATAGCACAACACAACACAATTACCTATGTACATTTATTGTCATTACCCGAGTTTACTCTTATGACTGAATTGAATCGGCCAGGGATGCATAGTCCGGAAAATTGGTGGTAACTCGCTGGCAAGTTTGTCGTTGTTTAGCTTTCCTGCACTGAGCGCGGTTGTTTGCGCATGTACAGTCACCTAAGTGTCAGTAAAACATTACTGAGTAAAACACAGATGTCATTTGACTGTGGTGCCATGTCCATGTGCCATGCCTGTTTTTTTTTTTAAATCCAAATATTTCCCCTCCTCAGTTTATAAAATAATTTGCATCCACACATCTGCGTTATCAATCACATTCGTAACATTCCAAACATGTGCGTCTCTTAAGGCCCTGTTTATACTGAGACGCTGCGCAGACGTTTCCAGGCTATTAACAGAAACGACCTGGCTCCTAATGCAAATTTCTCAGCGTTCACATGAGGTTGAAAAACGATGTAGTTCTAGCGCCCGGCCAGTAGTGGGCAGAGAAACTTTACAACACTCACACGACCCCCCAGCCCCGTGCCCAGCCCCCCTCTCGGCAGTGTACTCACTTCCTGTGCCAGACCCTCAGAACGTACCAACATCACTCTGCTTTTTAACAGCATCTGGGAAAATGGGAACTGAACCTAGAGCTTCGCGTGGTCTCGTTTGGACGAACGAAGGTGTAGAATTATCCTCTGTCCCGCGCTGGAAGCCCACGTAGCTAGTTTGTGTGGGCGTTGCCATTATTGTTTTTGTTTGTTCTCCGCTACTGCGCATGTCCAAATTTACGTGAGGAGAGCAGCGCGGAGGCGGGGGTCAGAGCAGAGGGGGATTTCACACCTTTCCCCTCTCGCGGGTGTGAAAAAGCTCCCTGCTGTGCAGCGTTTCTGAGTTGTCCCACTCTGCAGGCTGGATCTGAACACTTACGTTTTCACCCCCCTGGAACACAGTCTTCGTATGAACGGTTGGTAGGAACCGACATCCAACTATACCGTTTTACTGCCACATTGTCTCCGTGTAAACTCAGCCTAAGTCCTGTCCTGCTTTGGGGAAAAACACGGAAGTGGGCGGAGCTTTGATGCAGACGCCGGTAACGGCACTTTTACAGTCATAGAAGACACTCAGAGTAAAGACGTATGTTTACAAGCACTGACCCCGTCCTCAGCCCTGGTTTAGTCCTGGTTTAGTCCTGGTTTAGTCCTGGTTTAGTCCTGGTTTAGTCCTGGTTTGGTTGTTTTCGAGCGTGAGTCCCCGCGATCACTTTGTTGCTCTCTGATGTGGAGCATCTCACAGCGAACAGTTTTTAAGGTAGTATGATCCATGCTTCAGTGATAAGAGGAATTTAGGGGGGTACTGTGGCGTGCGAGAACGCAAAACTCCGGTTATCTCTGTGTACACACAAATGCATTAACGGAGTTTTCAAAAATCTCCACTTTGCCCGGAGTTTTTTGTATATATTCGTTTAGAATGTGTAATTTTTTATTTATTTACTGCGATCTACCAATACTACCTTTGCGATCGACAGGTAGATCGCGATCGACGTATTGAGCGCCCCTGCTCTACGTCCTTTGATGAGCACTAATTCAGGTTTTAAACACCTTTTCTTAACAAACAATTAAAGCATTTAGATCGAGGGATGGTGTGTCAAAACAACTGCTTTTTAACCCTAGTCTTTTTGCTGAGGTGTGTTTCGTGTGACACTCTGAGCAAATATAGTTGGAATTTGGACAGCCGTAAAACCAAAAATGAAACCAAAACTACACAGTCACACACGGGACAATACTTTGCTAAATGACAAGCCGTGGAACAGGAGTGACCGACTGCTGCTCTTTCCTTTTTATTAAATATTTCCTTGTAAGAAATCCGTTTGTAAAGGTTTATATTGCTTCATATGGATGATGTTATTGGAATGTAATTTAAGTTATCATTTTGGTAAATCATATGTGGCTATATGCTGAATGCTCTGTATTGTAATTCACTTTAGCTCCAGCAAAACTCCGGGAGGTCTGGGGAGCTCATATGTTAAACACCAGAGGAAGCAGTCTTTGTATACGCTAATTCGGAGTGTCTTTTGTTGTGTAGACAACTGTAGTTGAAACAGCATTATCAATGATCAAACTCTCTGTAGTCAGTCCGTGGGGTCCTGGGTGCACTTTACAGTAGTTCCTGTCATGGCAAATAGCTGACACGTGTCCAAACAACATGCAACATGGGTCAAATAACATGGGTCTGCCGTGTGGAAAAGACTTATGGTGTTATCAGTCGACCGGTCTTGTCAGTGACCGTTTTCTTTTTCTTTCAATGTAAACTCCTCTTTTACATTGATCATTTTATAATTAATTATATTTGTTTAGATTGTGTAGCGATTTTCATTTAAGTTGAGTTTCTGATTTTTCTGAAAAAGGATTCACTGAACCAAAACTGGACCATAAGTAAGAAATTGTCATTGCGGACTGATGGACCCAAACTATCAACATGTCAGTGACCGTGTTGTTTGTCTTGCAGTCATCGGCGAAGGGTCTGCGCGCCACCATCGGAGAGGCGTTCGAGCGGCTGCACCGGTTCCTTCGCGAGCGCCAGAAGAGCATGCTGGAGGAGCTGGAGACCGACACGGCTCGAAAACTCTCCGACATCGAGCACAAGATCCAGCGCTACAGCCAGCAGCTCCGCGACGTCAAAGAAGGCATCCTCATCCTGCAGGAGCGGCTCAACGAGACCGCCAGGCACACTTTCTTAGAGGGCGTGGCCGTCACATCAGAGAGGTACTGGAGTTATTCAAGGATTTTTTTTTATTTTTTATTTGAACCGTTCTGCTCAAAAGGAGTTGGCTGAAGCAAGAAGCTTAGGAGCACCGCACCCTCACACCCAATTACAATCAGTTTTTCTATCACAATACAAATAGGACAGAACAAGGACACAGAAGCAAGAATTAAGAATAGATCACACAATTAATCTCCATAAGACATACAATCTCAATGAGAGAGACCCGAGAGAGAGAGAGACCCGAGAGGCCTCACTGATAATAGGACCAAAGAGATTTGACGTTTCAAGGCAGATTCATTATCAACAGTTTGAACGGTTCATTTGTATAAACATTAGTGCGGCACAACTACAACAGTCTTCTTTAAGTCAGATCTCCACAAATCAATCACCATATAATTATTTTAGATAGTTACTCTATAGGGCACTGTCCGGTTTCCGAAATGTGCTAAAAATAGCTCAGATGACTGCGCATGCGCGCATGTTTCGGACAAACATTGTGTACGACTCGTTGAGTTCTACTGTGTTCTCCTCATACGCGTGTGTATTTATTTGGGCTAAATCATTGAATCATGGTGACAACAAAACACTGCAGTTATGGTGCTTGTCGGAGCGATTTCAGATACTCTGAAAAGGACTATATGAAAGTAACATTCAACCCGTTCGTTAAACCACACCATCGGACCAGACCAGGACCAGACCAGGACCAGACCAGGACCAGACCAGGACCAGACCAGGACCAGATCAGACCAGGTGGGTGCTTGTGGTCGGCAGAATTTCTCTCATGAAAAGGTTAAAAAGGGCACATGTTTTTTCAAAACACTTCGCTGGACCAACTGTGGAGCATCCAGATCCAGTCCTAGCTACGTTTAGCTGGGACTGGATCTGGACCGCTGGATCAGGTCCGTCTGAGCTCTTCTGAATGTAGTTAGCACAAACTTTCTCTTTACACCATTTACCCCCATCAATCCATATTAGTATTGTTTGTCCTAATCCAGAAAGTATACAATTCTCACACCTGAAGAAAGATGAGAGGGATTTTTTTCAACTTTGTGTCTGCTTATTATACGGCTTTGTACCAATTGAACACACAAAATAAACGTCATTCACTACTCATGCCGAAAGGTTTATTTAATGAGTGCAAAGAAAATAGTTCCCAAAGGTTTTCCCGTGGCAGGCGAGTAACAGTGAGGATAGTTAACCTAAAAGCGATCGCTTTAGTCGCATTAAAAAAGTATTTTTGTCATGAAAACCTGAACAGTTAATTCTGAAAACCTCCGTGCACTTGTGTTATGAATGTGTATAATGTATTCTCCCATTAACATTTAAATGTGTTGATTGATTGTCATTTGCGTTTACTGAGTGTGGCTAGCTCTGATAGTTTCTCTCAGAGACAGTGGCGTAACCCGTTGTGATCATGGATTTATTATAATATCAGCTGACTGTAGCTAACTAATGATCAAACTAATTACAAAGTGGATAGTGCAAAAACAACTTGATAAATGGAAGTTAATCACAGCAAAACAAACAAAGAAGGCGCTAGCATTGCAATTTAAATGACTAGATAATGTTAGCATAATCCTCACCATTATCTTTTTATCAATTCAAACCGTCTACCAGTTACTGGAAGACCACGACATTCAAGCCAACGTTATAATTGGTCTACACTATGATCCCTGATGGTTTGATGGTGGAATTTTGCCCCTGGTTTATCATTTTCGTCTAAAGTGACAAGTGGTATTTGATTCATTTCGGCAGTGTTTGTCCGAAACATGTGGGCGGGAGTTGACAGGCGGCGGGGGCGTGTCTTAGTGACGTCATTCAGATGCATGGATCAAACAACCCCCTCGCAATTTGTGTCTTCAAATTACAAGTAATTTCTCGTAAATTGCTGTGTTTTCGGGCAAATCATTAATGAAATGCAATGGAAAACCTTTTATACGTTGTGTTGAATGCATCTCAAGCCCTCTCGGCTTAGTGACGCACTTCTCTTCTCTCTGCTGAATACTGAACGCCTGCATTAAAGCTGGGCTACCTTACCTTCAAATGACTTGAAATGGAACTATGCCATAAAATCTATCCAAAAAGTCTCTACAGCTCTGGCTAGGTCCCATCACAAGTTTTTATGCGCATTTGGATAAGGATAATAATAATAATAATTGGGGCTGTCAAAATTATTGTGTTAACACACGTTAGCGTGTGCTTACGTTTCAAAGTACTCAGCTATCTGCTGCCGCCAACTGATATGAAGTAGTATTTTGTGTATTTCGTGGTTACTCCACAGTTCAAAACAAGTCAGCGCTCGCCAACGGTGGATGCAGGTATTATTAGATAAAGAAGGCGAATCTCTCACAGCACACAGGACAATATCATGTAGCACAGTGTTTGTAAAACACTATTCTAGCATACCGTGACATGCCCAGTGATTGTATTTTATAACCCGTTCACTTGAAGAAATCACATAATTGACTAAAACTGAACCTGGTCCAAAACTGTGGAAAGTAAATTTTTCATGCAACGTCTCTGGTAATGATATTGAAGCTCCAACTTGTTTGTGACCGTACAGTAATGCATTTGGCTCCTAACGTGACAGCAACACTTAGAAGCTGATAATGTTATTGGTGAAAGCCCACGTTTTGCTAATCCCTGAGCAGATGGCCTAAACCGAAGCAGCTGTTTCTAATCCGAGTGGTTTAGAGCATGATTTAATTGGACGGTTAATATGTCGGAGCGACGTAATGAGGCAGAAAACTACATTAGTCTCACAGATTAGGAACCTGCAATATGCTCCGGTGCTTTGATCTGCGGATGGAGAGCGCAAGTCAAAACATGTGGAAAATGTGGAGGAAGTAAGCCTGGATTCAATTAATGTACGAATAATTTATTCTATCAAAGAAACTGCTGTCCTGTTGTGCTTTTCATCCGCTCATCTCTATTCTTCCACTTTATCTCGGGTTGGGAAAGAGGCTGCAGTCTGAGCAGAGATCCAGGCACATTTCCTCCAGCTCATCCAGGGCAGCTGAGAGACCCTCCTGTGTAGAGCCCTGCACGGGCCTATTATCTGGGCCCGAGCCCGGCCCTGGCCCGAGGGGGTGGCGCCCCAGCCCGGCCCGGCCCGATATGGTTTCTGAATTTTCAGGCCCAAAACCCGCATCAAGCCGGCCCTCGGGCTGTCGGGGCCCTCGGGCCAAGGGCTCAAGTGCAGGGCTCTACTCCAGTGTGTCCTGGGTCTCCCCCTGGGTCTCCTCCTGATGATACATCCCCAGAACAGCTTCCAAGGGAGGCGTGACGATACATTCCAAACAGATGCCTGAGCCACCTCAACTCTTGTCTTCATGCGGTTAAAAAGTGGCTCTATTCTGAGCTCCCCCTGTGTGACTGAGCTTCATGTCACATTTGGCATAAAGAGAATCACTCAGATTGTGCAAAAGGACAGAAGTGTGCAACATGTTAAGGTTAACATGTTGGCAGAGTGGTTAGCACTGGAATCCAGGACTGGGCCTTTCTGACTCTTCTGAACCTGACCAAGCCAAGCATCAACATCTGAGATGAGTCCCCGGGGAAACCAGTGACCGCTGTTCCTGACAGAGGCCCTGTGGTATTAGAAGGATGAATGCAGAGGACAATAAAGTATACATTAACCTCAGCTCACCCTGTCACTCTGCGGAGGAAACTCATTATGAACGCTTGAATCTGTGATTTCTTCCTTTCGGTCATTACTAAAGGTTAGGGTGGGAAGTAGAACTGTAATTACAATCTATTAGATGGCCAATTATTATTTTAAAATTCCACACTTGATGGAAAAAATATGGATTTTTCACTTGTTGATTACAGTCCCATAAGACCTCTCATCACGTTCTAATCTGTGGATGGCTCAAAAATATTGTGTTCTAAATGAGTTGACACCTATTTCAATAATAAATGAGTTGTGATTCACCTTTTGTTACAGCGCTAGTGAAAACATAGATTGACCGATGTCAAGCTTTTCGTTTTTCTCATTGATTTCAAAAATACCTTTCGTTCACAACCTTTTAGTGCATAGACCTGTGTGTGATCCACAATGCTCTTTTATCAAATGTATTACCACTGGATCGTATTATGCGTGTGTTAGACAAGCCTCTAACCCTTCTTGTCCTAATTTATTTAGCTCCGCTGCTGGGAATTCGTTCAGTCCATTTGTCAGTGCCTTAACATCAATATCTGCACATTTGAAAGACCCACAGCTACATTTATTACTCAGAGTATAGACTGAGGGGACACGAGGCTGACATTGTTTGTAAAAGGCAACTAATTGGATTCAGACTTCACATTGATCTGTTTTTCTGTTCCAGGATCAAGGGGAAGATACATGAGACCAATCTGACGTACGAAGACTTCCCGACATCCAAATACATGGGTCCCTTACAGTACACGATATGGAAGTCTCTGTTTCAAGACGTATCGCCAGGTACGTGACAACGACAGTGTATACTACAGTGTTCTTATCTTTGACCCAAGTGCAATTATAGCTCCGGAGTTTATTATCTGCACATTATCCATTTTCTGGTGCGACCCAAAGGACAAAGCATATTTGGGACACAGAGAGGTTGAGAGTTTAAAGCCACCCTGTGCAATTTTTACAGATGCTCCATATGCAAGAATATGTTAACTGTTAATAAATGTGACCTTTTTAAGATTATTTACCTTCATCATGTTTTTTAAATTGTATTCATAGGCTTAGAATTTAACTTATAAGTGTCCATGAGAGAGGAGGACTATCTGTATAAATGCGCCATCTTGGAAAGCAGTGGTGGATAAGGGACAAAAAAATGCGAGAATCGCGTTTCGTTTCACATGAGCTACTGATATCGTTGCTTTCACCGTGACTTCACATGAAGGACCACAGTTATATAAAAGAACCATGGAGGACCACAATTACGTAAAAGAACAATCCGAACAACAATCTTTTAGAAAAATAATTATGCAGAAGTCCAGCGTCATAGCAGCAAAGTGTCAACATCGCAAATCACACGCACAAAGACAGCGTTAATAACAGGAGGCACATTGTGTAGTTTGTACACAACAGACTCACACATGAACATTACGTAACTTTTTCACTCTTACAGTAATGAGAATGAGAATGAGAATCTGCAACAGGCTCAGAATGTTCTGACCCGATCCGAGTGCAGTCCAACTACTGTCGCAAGTTTCAACTAAATTTATTCAGGGACAAGCCTCAAATAAGACACACACAGGATCCCCACAAAACAATCGGCAGAATACTTCATCAGCAGCGTGAGTGAATGTTCTGTTTTTCTTACCATGATGCAGATGGGGCGTTGTGGCTAACGCTAATGCTAACATGAGCTTTTAGCCATGTCCTGCTGCTGCTGTGTGTATCTTTTGCTTCTTTGATCATCGTCGTTTTAAGCTCCCACAGACGTTAATCCTCCATGCCTCTATTCTCTTCACACGCGTTTGTAAAAATATGTATTATAATAGATCCATGGTAAAACTCAGTAGAGCCTCTGTGTAGTGGGTGCTGCGTCTGAACGTGGTCTTGTTTACATATATCGGCTCCACGCGATTGTCAAGTGCCTGAGCTGTTTGGAGACATCTGATCATTTATCAAACACAAAGTATTCTTTCCTTGGCAGTCTGGAGAGTAACTGAGAGCCGAGGAGCTCTGTCTATTGACAGTGCTCCTCAACTGTAAGGCCACCGTACATCAGTAGACTGCAATATAAGATCTCAACGCTAGATGGCACTAAATATTACAGTGTCCCTTTAAAAGAGGCGCTTTTTTAAAAGTAGTTTTCTAGGTCCCATATTACGCTTTTTTACTTTTCTATGCTTTAAACCCTGTTCTGACAGTGCTTTTTGGCCTTGATATGTATGCCCAAAGTAGTTTCCTTTAGAGTGAACTCTTATTTGCTTAATACACCAAAAACCCAACCTAGTGCCACTGTCCACAAAACTAAAAAACCCAAAGTAACAAATCAATGTTAAATCTGGCAATAAAGCCAAAACAAACAAAAAGGGTCAATGGTGAACCAACCCGATACAGGACCTGATGCTAGTGAGAGAGGCTGAAAGTAGAGAGGCAGCACTCAAAATATACATACTGATAACATTACCAAAACTGTAACCATAAAAACATGCCCACAGAAACTACTATAAACCCCAAAAAACACAAGACTCAAAGCCAAGGAAAAAATGTGCCCAAACATAACGTATCTTAAATGATAGATCTTGTGTGAAGTGCGTGTCCTGAGTGCTCTTTCTCCTGTAATCTGAACAAGATGACACTGAAAGACAAATAAAGGTTAAAAGTTATGTAACCGAGGGCTTCAAGGAAGAGACATAATGTGCAAAAAGACTTCAATGAGCTTTCAACCTCGTCATCATTGTTCTCTCGTCAAAAACATCCAAGATCTTCTATGGAGCATGTTAAAGCTGGGGTACCTAATTTCAAGTGTAACTAGTTTCTTGCTCTATATGAAAAGTTTTGTTCTATCACTCCTTTTTGCGTGCATCTATTTTTGGCCTCTGTCACATCTTTAGAGCAGTGATAAGTGAAAGAGGACCAACCTCAGCTGATGTCTAATTGTGGCCCACAGGGTTAGCATACAAGAGCGAGCCCTGTGGGTCACTATTCGCAAAAAACATGTTTCCTCATAATACATGCAACACAACATTTTGTGGTTTGAAACTTGGTTTGAAAATAAACTTTATTTATTTTATATTGTAACTACCTCTTCTACGACACTCTGTCCCCGACTTTGTTTTAATACTTGTTGACGTCCCTTTTCTGATTTAGCAGCGCTAAACCCAACAGCTGTGAGCAGAACATTAGCATAGCTAGCTTTATCCGTTTATTCTCATCCAACACCTGTTTTTATGGATTGTTGTTTTGTGTCTGAACAAAATGGAGCATAAACTGTGTGAAGACAAAAGCAAAGCTCAAATCTGCTGCTCAAATCTGGAAGTAAGGCGTGTTGTTAAAACCTGTGTCAGCTTTTCATCACGGGTAAGGCGGGTACTAAATAAAAGGATCAAAACAGACTTCTGACTTTGCATCATAATGGACTACAGAAAGTTGATCGTCCATGTGGAAGATAAACATTTACAACATGTTTTTCAAAGTATTGTGATGAAAGAGTTTTTGGGCTTTTTCTGTTGTTTTTTTAGTAGAAATAAGGGCAAGTCAAACTTTTGCCTATAATAATAATAATAAGAAAAACAAGATAATTTTCTATAACTCTTCTGATTCACAACATATCAAATTCCAACCGGGGAAAATTCCAAACAATCTGATTTACCTCATGGCCCATGACTCCAAATTATATTTTTTTAATCTTTTGTTGGATACTTTTTTGGGTTAGGTTTTACCTGGTTTGTTGCACTAGTTATAAATCATGACATAGGAGATTGGTTAGCACTCCCGCTAACAGGGCCTCTCTGAGTAGATTTTGCATGTTCTCCCCGTGTCTGCAGGTATTCAGGTTTTTCCTCCAGTTTCGGCCCTGACCAAGCAGAGCATCAACATCTGGGCGCTAAACTACAGCAACCACTAACTAGATCCTCTCTCTCAAAATGGTCTGGTCACTACCTCGTTTTTTGGCCTCTGTCACATCTTTAGAGCAGCGTCTTCAGACAGAAAAGTGAAACAGAGAGTGCCTGGACTATATAAAGTGCTTCTAATCGATAGTTCTTTCAAGTCAACTTTTTTAGAATGATGTTGCATTTTCCCCTCTCTCCATGTTCTCATTCAGTCACCAGGCTGCAAGTGATAATGTTTCTCTGCTCACCCGCCCTGGGCACACTCACCATTTCAATGCAATGGGAGGAAACTAATCCAGACTTGCTTTAGGTCTGACACTTGGGAGATATTTTTCCCGCTTGCCTCGGCTGAGCTGCGGTGTCAGGGCTGCGGGGTTGAGATGCCCTTCTGTGGCTTAAACCCACGAGGTCGCTTTGCCCCTCGTCTCTCGGTCTCTCATCCAACATTATTTCAAATTTGAGCCGAGGAATTTCATGGCCCCCCCTTAGCTCAATCAATTCTTTAATATTCGCCTGCTGCTGCGCGGAGGCATGGCAGGTTTTTGGCCTCCCTCGGCTCTCTTCCAAATGGAACAATTGCCTACGATCCGTCAGAGGCTGCTGCCAGAGTTTTAACAAAGACATTCCTGCCATCGTCTCTCATCTCTCATCCTGCGCTGTCTCCCGTGGGCTTCCAGTAATAATAGGAAGTTCCCTTTTTTAGATGCTTCTATTTTATTTCTACAATATTCAAATGAGTCCAAAATTTGGGAATAAAAGAGGAGTTCGGGTCAACATCTGCACCCAACATGCAGGCACCCAAGTTAAGGGTAAACCAAAATAGAATAAATTCTAAAAAACATTTCATATAATGAAAATTAAAAGCTCTAAACATCCATAATTTTTTGACTTTTAATGTTTTTTTGCTATACCAAATTGCACCTACTTAAAATATTGCCCCAAAATATGACAATAACTCTCTGATATGGACCTATTCCGTGAATTTTGACCTAAAGCTTTGACATCTCACACAGATTTATGTAAATGTCAAATAATATATATATTTATATTTTTGTATTATTATTACTGAACGACCTTCACTGTGCCGTTCTTACATTATTATCAAGTAGACCATGACAAAGTACATGTTTCTTTCCAAAGGTGTATTACCAGGCGAGGAGGGGCAAAATTAGGTGGATGTGAAGAGGTTCATTTGAGGTTTTAAAATTTTAAGCCTGATTTTGAAACGTTTTTTTGGTTCTATCACTAGTTTCTACACGCATGTATCTTTGGCCTCTTTTACATCTTTAGATCAGCTTTTGCAGACAGAAAAGTGAAAAACAGAGGAAGTCCCTCTCTCAGCCAATTAGCTGACAGCTCAAATAGTCAAATAGTGACATCGTCTCTCCAGTCCTCTGGGTTGTGTGTTTTTATCTCTGGTCCAGTCCCGACTGTAAACCGGGGAGACTGCTTGTACAGTCGCGTTGTGGCGCTCAACATGTGGCTCCAGTCTGCATGCAGCACTTTTAACTTTGTTTTTGTGAACAACTTTGGCCTGTTCTGGAAGCGTCACGTGGCCTATCGTCCAGACGGTCTGCACCCGAACAGATACGGCACCAGTTTATTGATGGACTTTTTACGCCATGTTGTTCAGTGCTCCCCGAGGGGGGCGTGACTGTTTACATCCGAGGCCTCTCGGCCCCCACTACCACCTTCCTCCTCCACTCCAGCACTGGGTGAGTACTGTGGTGCAAACACTGACCCCTGTCCGTCTGGCAGTGTAATACCAGTCCTGCCACTGAACGGTGCTTACTCAGCCATGCATCTGGAACTTAACAAAGTAAAACAGAGTTCACTTTTTAAACCAATAGAGACTGTGTGTGTTCCTCGCACCGGCTCAGAAATGTGTTTTAATTTGAATAAACA